GAGATTTTGATTTGTGGAGGAATAAATATATAAGGAAATTAAATAATGAAGTTTAAAGGATCATGTATGATAAGAATTATATTGAGGTGTAGATTAGTTTGATATAGAATTAAGGAAATTTTCAATTCTAAGTGGTAATGAGAAAGAGTTGTTATGAATTTTGTATCAAAATTTACGTGGAGACTAAATTTGGACGTTTATGAAGAATGGATTAAGTAGCACCCTTTTATTCTAATGACGTGAATGATCCTTGGAAAAGTACGTAAGGTTATATGAAAAGATTATTTGATTTTGTGAAGTATATGTTTTGACTATATCTAATGAAGGTTTCAGGTTACCTTAAAGTTATGGAAATCTTTGAATAAGGTCTCAAGAAATCGAATTCGCTGTAACATTTATATCCATGCATAGACAGATAGTTAGTTTAAGCAGATTATTCAGGTTTTACAAAGGTTATGTAAGGGTGAGTGGAATAGAGTTTAAAAGATAGGAAATGGATGGAATTCCTTGGAGATTGAACACAAGTTTATTAATTGCAACCACGAAAGGTTAAAGTAGTGACTGATGTAACAATTGAAAGATATTTCTATTTTAAGAGTTCTGAATATGTAATTGTTTTTTTAAGATAGATAATGTTTTGGGATGTAAAAATTAAATTAAAGCCTTTGTTACTGGATTGATTTAAGGATCTTAAGAGAAATATGAAAAGTTCTTACGGGTCAAGTATAAAATAGGTAGAAAAAGGGGAAAGCTAAGGACTTAAAGCTGAATAAATGTTATCATATCACAGAAAGAGATTGCATTGAGTTTGTTTGTAATGAGTAGTATGTCAGCATGTTAAGAAAGGTATCAAGATAGCTTTAAGATAAGTTTTGCATAAAAGAAATGTTGGACACCATTAAGTTGGTTTGAGTTGAAATATTGAGATTTGGTGTAGACAAATTGGATCATAGTAGTTGAAGAAAAAGTGAAGAATAATTAAGATGATTTGAATACAGTTGATAATTAACAAAACTTCTATGCATATTTGAAAGGAACGAAATATTGAATAGATCCTTTGTCACATCATAACACTAGAAGAAATAAAAGTTTAATCTGACTTGATCTACGAGGAATAATCGGTGCAATTTTGGCATATAAGTTAAACAACTAAGGAATAAGACAATTTTCTTGGTTAAAGTTTTATGGAGAAATCATAACGTAGTGGAAGCAACACGAGAATGTGAATAGATTGTGTATAGACAGTTCCCCATCTCTTTGTGTATTGAAAATTCGAGGACAAATTTTCTTAAGGGTGATATTTGTAACATCCCAAAAACTGGGTTAGTGACTAAATTGTAAGATTTTAAAAAATTATGTCTAATTTTGAAAAAAATTGAAAAGTTCAGGGAGTTAATTTTGATTTTCTTGTAGCAGGATTGAATAACAAAGTTTGAAAGATAAAAGGTTATAATGGTCATTTGACAGGAAATGAATTTAAAATTCATTCTTTGGGTATTATATATCCACGTGGAAAGAAAGAATGGAGGGAAAAGAAAAATCTGGATACTTGGAGCTATCTTCTTCTTCTTCTCCTATGACTTTATTGGTAAGGTAAGATGATCTCAAGTTAATGTTTTCTTTCATTTTTAAGTTGGTTTTTATTCTTAGGGTGTTAGGAAAGCTTAAGAAGCTTAAAGAAAAGTAAAAACATAAAAATGGATAAGTTATGAGTGATTAAGTAAGAAGGGTTTTTGATTTAATTGATGAGAAAGGGTTAGTAAATGGATTTTGAAGTGAAATTTAACTTGTCATCAGTTGAAATAAGAAATTTAAAGTGTTAGAAAGGAATTTGGAACATGTTGATAAATTTGTATGATTTTTAAATTTAAGTGAGTGTATGGGTTATTGGATGTTAAGACAAGTTAAAATGATATAAGTTGATATGGGTAAGTGTAGTTGAGTTTAAAGGCCTTAAAGAAGAGTAAAGTGAGGAAGTTAGCAAAGTTTTGGAAAATTTTCGGGGTACATGAATAAGTTTTGGGCAAGGGGTATCGGTACTGGATGAACAATATTGATACTCCAAAGAAAATATAGGGGACATTTGGGTATGGTTATCGATACTGGATGAACAATATCGATACCATAAGGTAAAAGTGGATGAATACTTCAAACAATATCAATACCGAGGTAGTAGTATCGGTACAGGAGTATCGATACCAATGATTAAGTATCAGTACCAATTTTTAGATCCGAATTCCAGAATGTTAAGAGGGTATCGATATTGAAGTGTAGTATCGATACCACAGTAAGGAAGTATCGGTACTTTACATTGGGTACATATACTATTTATATGGAATTGGTGAATTTAGTGCTTTGTTTAACTTATGTTATCAAGGATCTATTCTAATAAGTCGAATTCTAATATTTATATTAACCATATAATTGTGTAGATATTGAACACAAGCAAGTCCGGAAGAATCGATGAGTAGAATCGATCAAGAGAGAGATAAGTGTATTGTTTTGACCAGTAGGGCTAAGGTGAGTGCATACTAATACATATGTGTTGTTTTATGGAAATGAGACTTACGATGAGTCTATTTCCAATGTTTCCATTACATGAGTCCATGAATACAAGTATATGTCTACGTGTTATATGCATAATGATACATGAGATATGTGTGATATGTTATTCTATGTGACCATGATCTGTATGGATATATGAGAATAAGACATAAACTATGTAAACATGATATTTGTGAATACATGCCTATGTGACAAGCTATGTGAAACTGAACTAAAGGAGCACATGAAACTAGTATATAAGTAAAATGTGATATGATCTATGTCAGTATCTGGAAGTATGATATAAACTATATGATCAGGAGCTAAGTAAGTACATGATTGTGTGATAATTAATGTGAATTGGTATAATGGAATTATATGATTAAGTGAAAAAGTAATATAAGCTATGTGTTATTGATATAAACTCTTATATGAACATGTGATATCAGATATGTAAAACTTAACTATGTGCATATATGAAATTGTGATATAGGCTATGTGATGAGGAGTTATATGTGATTCTGTGTGCTATGTGATCTATGTGAATATATGAGAACAAGATATAAGCTATGTGACATGATCTACGTGAATACATGAACATAAGATATAAGCTATGTGACATAACCTACGTGATTACTGGTCTATGTGAAATAAGATATAATAAAAAAATATAAATGGTAAAGCCCATAGTATATGATATCAGAGATGATGGTATAATTGGCATGCCAAGAGTCGAGGGTTCTACGAGGTTCTTCGAGACATTCTATGTGGCACTTCGGTGCATTTTCTACGCGTCACTTAGGTGCAATTTTATACGAGCTGTGGTGACAGCATTTATTCACAACATGCACTCACATATATTTAATTCTCGGAAATGTACCATGGACTATTAAAAGAAATAATATGAATAAACAGTGTGTAATGTTATATGATTTGCTTTGTGGAATGTATTGTGATGTTTGTATTATACGATGGTTTACAAAGATTAAGTATAAATAAATATAAATTTTAAATGGATTAATGACAAGAATGTTGATAATGATATTGATGATGATAATGTAGGTATATGTACATGTATGTATTTTGTTATATGAAATTGTTCTATGGTTTCTTTGATATGATGTTATGATATGTTTAGAATATGTTTAGGTGATTACATATTTTCTTTATCAGTAATGTACCATGGACTAAAAAAATTAACATGAATGAATCATGCATAAGATTATATATTATTGTTGGTGAAATACATGATCATATATGCTCTGATTGATTAACTATATGATGATTCTGTATGTTGCAAAAGTATGTAGTTACATGTTCCAATATATTATTGTTGGTGAAATACATGATCATATATGTGAGTGTTTCACACGCAAGTATAGAGAAACAGGAAGAGCAAAGCTAAGTTCAGACAAGACAACATACCCATACAAGAAGATCATATAAAAAACAATGTATATAGTATGTTATTTTGTTTAATTAAAGTAGTTGACATGAAATTTAAAGATTTGAATCAGATGTGCTCTGATATGTTTTTGTAAAACCAATTGTTTTTATTTAATACAAATTATTTGGATTTTATTTTTAAATGTGAAATTAAAATTTTAGTATCTTGTAAAAGTAAAGAATTTGAAAAGTCAATGTGACACCTTAGATTCGTATCCGGATCGGATACGGGTTGGGGGTGTTACAGATACTGCCATAAGAGTATCGATATTTTTTTACCTTTGGCATCGGTACTGCAAGAAATATATTGATATTGTTCATACAATATTGATACTATAATAACAATATTAGTACTATTTACTTAGAAAATAATTTTATTTTCAAATTCAAGTTTTATGGATTTTGAATTATTTTTGAAAACTTTAAATAAATTTAATCAAGTCCAAAATCATTTTTTCCTTAGTTTGTTATATCAAAATAGGTTCAACAGAAAACAACTATCCTACCATATATAAGGCCGATTATATAAATATACATGTATATAAATAAATGGTTAAATATATATGAAATATATGAATAAAAATTAAATATGTTGATAAATTAAAATAGTTATGTATTTTTAAATTAAATTAAATGAAGTCAATGAAATTAATAAACGAAATTAAGTCATGAAAAAAATATTTAGAAAGATATGAATGATTTTTTAAAAATAAAAAGTGAACCGAACATTATTATTTTATTAGAAAAACCTTATCAAGAAATCGGTTTTTTTATCATTGTGAAAATAAATGTTGATGCCAATTTTTTAAATGATTTTTGTTATTTTGAAGATTTAGATATAATAAAATCCGCAAATCACATTAATCAAATGAGATGGTCATTAAAATACTGAAAACTGGGGGTAAAGAACAGACGAATCAACAAATTGAATTGGTTTTTATAATTTTTCTTAATTTTTTATTCAATTATTGTTGAACAGAAAATCAGAAACTGATGGTGTGAAGCATGGATATTTAGAATATTGGTGGAAAGTTTTAGAGCAACAAGTCGACAAGTTTTGTAAGAAAAAACAGAGGCTCCGATGCCAACTTTGGCTTTTCCGATGAAGTATCGGCCGCAGATGGCCGCTGCTTCAAACACAAAAAGAAATTCCTGGACCCCAAATTTTTCACTTTCTCCCCTGCATTTAAACCTGCCCATATTTAACATGATATTCAATGAATTGATTATGATTATCACAATTACAAAGTATTGATCAAAAAAGAATTACTACTACTTACTTTCCAGGCTGAACTGCGAATAATGAAGCTGAAAGAAGTTAGGATCAGTTTCCTCTAACAAAGGCCTTCTTTGCTCTTTCACGTAAATTTCTATAGCAGCTTTGATCAAATCCTTCACTGTATTATCCGATGACATAATCACATGCACTGCCCCCAAGCTGCTCTCTATGTTTACATTCACCAGCAACTTCGTCAACCTCTGGTATATTCCATCCGGAAACCTCGGAGACGGGAAGGTTGCCGACCTCGCCCGGACCGCCACAAGGCCTCCTCGCCGTTGAATGATGTCCAAATTTTGCTCTGGTGGAAATGTCTGTAGTGTTCGGTCGAAGGTTGAAAGAACCCTCACGGAGCTAAGTCTCCGGCTACCTGGAACACGAGGAATCATGGCGAGATCGCAGTTAAATGATAAAAAGAATAAACAAGAAGGTTTTCCTTTGTCGTATGAATTATTTATTTTGGTGGAAAATATTGGAGTTTTGAAAGGTTTTGGATTTTTGCAACATAAAATCCAAGTGCGAAATTTCCAGGAAATTGTCTACTTTTGTGGGACTGCATGTTTGTACGTTACCTGGAAGCAGATTTTAAGCTAAATTTGCGTGGCTCTATTAGGGGGAAGACATGAACAACATGCAAAGAAATTGTAAATACACAATTACCAATAAATTTGTGGTGTTATGAGAAAATTAGCCCTAATATTTATACAAATACTCATTTTATTTCCTAATGTTTTTTTTGTTAAAATAACCCTTATTGGATGAAAACTATTAGTTAAAAAAATATCAATTCATGTTGCTAACGTATCATTTTCACATGTATTTTTAATTGTTGACATTGAACATATTATGTCACTGGAAGTGATGATGTGACATGTAGCATATCAGTTAAATTGATATGTCATTCGAAATGATAATGTGACACGTGACATATCACTTAAATCGATGATGTAGTTCAGGCTCTTACTCTGTTAAGTCGGGCTACAACTGGTTGAAGATTCAAAACAGCCCGACATTGATTGCGGAAGGCATCTGGAATGCTGTGGCTAAGGCAAATGTCCTCCCAAAAATTAGAATCTTTGGCTGGAGACTTTGTCACGAAGCTATTCCATCGGGGGAAAAACTCAAACAAGCTAATCTTGGGGATGGTATTTGTCAACTATGTAATGCAGATCTTGAGTCGGCTTTGCATACGATTAAAAATGGTTGTCCTTTGTTCCCATATGTAATGGGGTAAGGGGGAGGTAAGATAGTAGGCTGCCCCCAACACTAGGTTGAGAGCAGCTTCCGTAGGAGACCTCCAAATTATGAAATGCCCTCCATGGGACTCGATCCCACGACCTCAAGGTTAAGAACCTTGTGCTCTACCAACACTAGGTTGCATGCGATTAAAGACTGCCCTAAATCGAAGACGATTCTTTTGCTGTCAAGCCTCCCTCAAGATATTGTGGACTGGGAAGGAAGTTCCTGCCTCGAATGGATAACGCACGTTCAGTCCAAGTTAGACCGAGAAGGGTTTGATATGTTCCTCACCTTATTATGGAATATTTGGAATCGCAGGAACAAATGGATTCACGATGCGGAGCTCCAATCGGACAGAGTCGTTATATCTAAAGCTTGGAACCTACTTGGGGATTTTAAGTAGGCTTTTAAACCGTTCGGTTGCACAAGTGGAGAAACCCCTCCTCGCAGACTTCGTAAGTGGAGTAAGTCGGAGCCAGGTATGATCAACATTAATGTGGACGGAGCGTTTAGTAATGAGTCGCACTTAGCTGCGGTTGGAGTTGTGGCCCGAGACTCACACGGCATGGTCCTTGGGGGGAATGGCTATGAAGATTGACCCTCCCTTTATGGCCAAATCCACCGAAGTTGCGGCGTTCACTCAGGGTATTCGCTTAGCTACTGAGAACGGGTGGAGCAATGTGATTATCGAAGGCGATGCCATCTTGGTCGTGTACAAGTTGTCTAATCAAAACAAGAACAAGACCCAGGACATAACTACAGTTGGATTGTTGCTCAATGAGGCTAGATCACTTCTTGTTGAATTTCCTTCCCTAAAGGTGCACTATGTTAGTAGGGAAGCGAATAGAGTTGCTCACACTTTAGCTCAATGGGCCTTATCGAACCACAATCCAATCTGGTTTTTCCTGGACGAACCAGATTGTATTAAGCAACTTGTCATTGATGATGCTATTGGAACATAAGTTATTCTTCCTTCAAAAAAAAATGATGTTTGTGGCATTTTCTATGATACCTAAGTTGATGATGTGATGAAGTGATAATGTAACATGTTCTATATCACCAATTAAACACATATGAAAATATCGTATCAAAAAAATACGTTAATCATTTGTCAATTAATGATTTTTATCCAACAAAGATATGATATTTTCATAAAAAAATAAAACGTTGAGAATTAAAATACTCTAGGAAAAAAATAATAAAGACTAAAGACATTATTTATATAAATTTTATGTGCTAGATTTATCTTATACGAATAAATCATAGGATCATGGTTGAAAATAGGGGTGTATTTTATTTGGTTCGGCGATTTTTGATTGTTCATTATTTTTCAAACTCAATCTAAAAAACAATTTTAAAGCTTAAATCAAGTGTAAATATATAAATTTAAATTTATAAAAAAATTGTTAACTTTTATATTTTATTTATTTAAATTTATATTATAATAAATTTATCTTTTGTTTTTTTAATTCGTTTTAATTCGATTCAAATGGTTTCCAAAAATCAAAATCAAATTGCATATATTTTTTTAAATCAAACTGAAACTGAACTGTAAATTAAAAACTCAAACTGAATCAAACTGAATAATCTAATTCGAATCAATTTTTCGGTTTTTTAGATTCCGTTCCTCAATCCAATTTGTGTATGCGCAAAGGCAAGTGAATTGGTCAGAGATTGCTACATTGGGAGGCAGATGAAATGAATGGAGTGTGGACAGTTTCTGAAACTGGTTGCAGCAACCTCGTTTTTGCAGACAGTTAACGGATGAATAGGAAATAATAACTTGTTGGATTCTTATTGTTTGTTTGTAGACATTAGCATGGCATGTTGAACAAGAACAGTGTATCTAATAATATATGTATTAGTTAAGACTTAGAAATGGGCCTAACTTTCTCTCTTCTTTTAAATAGAAAATACATGCATATGCTCTCCTTACTTGAGCCTAATCTGAAACCGTCAAATGGGTATAACTTTATATATAGTACTCTGTATGAAATAATGAAATTGGAACCCTCTTCTTAAAAGCACAAATTATGGGTTTATCTTTCTTACTCTCTAATATATTAAAGTTCATAAAATTAAAAGCATTTAAGTGTATAACAATTTTTTGAGCAAACACATTTTATAGATTGATCAAGTTGTTTATCTTTGTTTCATTATATTATTTTAGGTTATAGGTTCTAGACCCACTAAAAGCATTCCTCTTGATTCTCCTTATTAGGAAATAGATTGTGATAGCTGGAGTAGTTGGGTACTAACCGTTTCTGTTAAGAGTTAGTTTTACGGTTAAGAGTAGTTAAGCCGATTTTCCTATTGGGTTAAACTTACAGTGTTAATACGTAAGGAAAAGCCAATGGTTATATAAAGGCCTTCTGGTCAAGGGCTAGAAATTATCTTAAAGCCTACATTCTTTTTCCTTTTTACTTTACTTTCTCTCTGGTTAACTGAGTAGATTAGGGGTTTCAACATGGTATCAGATGTCTAACGATCCGTTTGCCTGTGGATTCAACAGTGGCTTCCTCCGGTTTTCATTGCTCTGCTCGTTATGCCTAATTCCTTTATTGCTGTTGAGGTTACGTCTGATGAGAGTAGTGCAGTCTTGGTCAACAATCGAATGATGGAGACATCGTTTATGAACAAGTATGTCAATGTTCAGCTTGATGATAATAACTTCCTTCTTTGGAAACAACAAGTGCTTCTTATGATTCAAGGACATGAGTTGGAGCATTTGTGGATGAGTCTCTACCTATTCACCTCAGACTGTTGTGGATGATTCCGGTGAGTTAATGGTGAATCTGGCTTATCGGAGTCACAAAAAGAAGAATAGTTCTTTAGCGTCTTGGTTTCTTTCAACAATTAGTTCTTCGATTATACCTCAGCTTGTGGGAGCGCATACCTCTGCTCGAATCTGGAGCACAGTCCTCAGCATGTATTCAAAGCTCTCTACTGTTTCAGAGATTTGTGAGTTTTCTACACAAATTAAGGAGATTTGTGATTTGCTTGCGATGAGCGGGAATCCTGTTTCAGAGATCGATCAGATTGTTACATTTCTTAATGGGTTTCATGTTGATTTTGAACCTTTTGTTGCTTCCATAACTGTAAGTTGTGAGCCATATACATTTGATACTGTTACCTCTGTTCTTATTGATGTTGAATCATGAATTGGTGATCTCATGAAGACGTCGGTTAGTATCAATCTGACCATGCATGATCATCATAATAAAGGAAATGCTGGTGGTAGTCATGATCGTTACTATGCTAATAATAGATCGAGTGACACTCGAGAGAGAAATCAGAATAGTAACAAGTATAAGGGTAGACCCCGACATCAATGCAAATTATGTGGAAAGATTGGTCATCTGGTGGATAGGTGTTGGCATTGTTTTAATGAATACTACAAGGGAGTGGCATCTAGGCAATCCAGGAATAACAATGAAGTGTAGGTTAATGTGTGTAAATATGATTCTAATTCCAATGAGTATTGCTATAATTATTTGTGAGTACATCTACAGGTGGTGAGGTTGCTAATGAAGATGCCACTGCCGATACGGTGAAAATCAATTCGCTCATTGCTAAAAGTGTGTTGTCTGTTGCTGATAGATGATACCTGACTCAGGAGCTATGCATCATGTGACGTATGAGAAAGCTGGAGCTTCCTCTAGTCGGCCATATTCGGGTAAAGGTAAGGTTTATTTTGGTGATGGTTCTACCTTGCCAATCTCACATGTAGGTGATGTGCCCTTGGCTGCTAAATCATGTGATTTAAAGCTTAAAAATGTCTTGTGTGTACCAAAAATTACTAGGAATTATTATATGTTTCTAAGTTTACACAAGATAACAATGTTTATCTAGAATTTCACTCCGACAAGTGTTTTGTGAAGGATGAAGAAACTGGTATGATTCAATTGGAAGGTAAGCTAGAGGATGGTCTATATTGCTTTGATAGAACTATTCGGTCTAATGGCATGCTTCATTATGTTACTGCTTTCTCTACTGAGATAAATAATACAAAGTCCAATACCAACTACTGGTTATGGCATAGACGCTTGGGGCACCCTGCATCAAAACACTGTATGTTTTATTTCATATAAAGAATACCATTGATAATAATGAGACATGTGTTGCATGTCAACTAGGAAAAATCATAAACTTCCATTGTGCAATCTGCCACTGTTTACACTCAGTTGTTTGAGCTTGTTGAGACTGATGTGTGGGGACCAGCAACGATTAAATCTGGTGGTTGGCAATACTATGTTTCATTTGTAGACATGTATAGCAGGAATGTATGGGTGTATTTGTTACGCAATAAATCTGATGTTACTCAAGCGTTTAATTTGTTTCATGCTCTTGTTAAGAATCAGTTTAAAACCAATATTGTAGTCTTGCAGACTGATGGTGGAGGTGAGTATTAGTGATAAGAATAGTGTCTTGCAGTTACAGGAATAAAACACAGAGTTATGTGTCCTCACACGTCGCAACAGAATTGTGTCATTGAACATAAACATCGTCATATAATTTATACAACTTTAACACTTATTGTACAATCGTCAGTTCCTTTTAAATATTGTCATATGTTGTTCTTACTGTAGCTTACTTAATCAACAGATTACCTGTAGACTTACTTGGGGGAATATCACCATTCGAAAAACTTTATGGTAAGGGTCCTGATTATCAGTTTCTTCGGGTTTTTGGGTGTCAGTGTTTTTCGTGCCTTCGACCTTTCAATCGTCATAAGTTTGATTTTAGGTCCAAACCGTGTGTTGTTCTTGGTTACTCACCACAACATCATGGGTGTCAATGTCTTGATAGTGCATGTCGTATCTATATATCTCGACATGTCACATTCAGTGAGAATGTGTTTCCATTTTCATCTGAGCATATAAGTGTTAATAAGGGTGTCAAGCAAGCTTCTTGGGTTGTTCCCTTTCCTAGTAATGAGGTCAATTCAAATGCTCACAAATATGTGGTTATGGTATGTGACAATTCTAGATGTGCTCCTGGCTCCTCAAATACTAATGTGGCAGGTTCGGTCAATACACCTGGTGTGAACCTTGGTCGTGATGATATGTTAAACATGATGGATGCATTGTCAGAATCTATGTCTAGAAATATTGAACAACAGGAAGTTGCTCGAAGTGAACATTGTGTCTTCTGGTGCTGAGCAATGAGATGTTCAAGATGTTCCAGTTGGTGTTCTGGAGCCAAGTGTTTCGGCTAGTCTTGTGCCTGTTGAAAGTAATGGCATGGATATTCATTAGGCTACAAATAGACATCATATGGTTACTCGCAGCAAAGTATGAATTTTCAAACCCAAAGCCTATAATACGATGTTTAATGAAACTCCTTTGAATGTGCAGGATGCTTTACAACATAAACATTGGTGGTGTAGTGGAAACTGAATTCATGGCTTTACTTGACAATGATACATGGAGATTAGTTCCGTTGCCAGCTGATCAAAAATCAATTGGGTGTAAATGGTTGTTTCGTATTAAATACAACTCAGATGATTCTGTTAATCGTTTTAAAGCAAGACTTGTAGCCAAAGGTTACTCTCAAGTTCCATGAAGTGATTTTGTGGATACTTTCAGTCCTGTAGTTCGGTTCTTCACCCTAAATGTTTTGCTTTCTGTTGCTACTTCTCGTGGATGGAAAGTTTATCAAGTTGATGTGAATAATGCCTTTCTCAAAGGGGATTTACAGGAGGAGGTTTATATGAACCGATCATAAGGGTTTGAACAGGTTGGTCCTCATGGTGAGAAGCTGGTGTACAAGCTTCAAAAGGCTCTCTACGGACTTTGACAAGCTCTTCGAAATTGGTTTAATAAAATTTATAACTTTCTGTGTGATTTGAGGTTTTATTCTTTTCGCGCTGATAATTCCTTGTTCATTTATGGTTCAAATGATGATGTTACATAAGTTATTATTTATGTTAATGATATTCTTGTGATAGATTCTTCTGAAAAACATGTTAAAGAAGTTAACAACAGCTTCATGACAGGTTATCTTTAAAATATCTCAGGCTTGTTCATTATTTTTTGGGCATTGAGGTGTTCACACTATAACTAGATTGTTCCTCAGCTAAAGGAAGTATGTGGAAGAGTTATTGGTCAAGTTAATGTGCATACTGCCAAACTAGTGGATACTCCTTTACCTGTCACACCTAAGTTGAGTACAGAGAATGCATGAGCTCCGATGAACGCTCAACAATATCGTAGTGCAGTGGGTGCATTATTGTATTTGGCTAAGGGGTCAAACGTATTCTTCGTTATCTCAAAGGAACATTGGATTATGGACTTTGGTTGACCATGCATCAAGGGCAACTTCAAGTCAAGACTTTTACAGATGCGGATTGGGGTAGTGACTCCGATGATAGACGCTCAATTTCTTCTTATTGTGTTTACTTAGGTAATCATTTGTTGTCGTGGAGTTCTCGCAAGCCGAGGTTAGTGTCTCGATCCACGACCGAGGTAGAATATTGAAGTCTTACTGATACAACGTCTGAGGTTCTATGGATAAAAATTGTTCTTAATGATATGAATGTGGTGTTATCTCAACCTCTTGTTATATGGTGTGATAACACTAGCACTTTTACTATGGCTGTCAATTCTATTCTACATGCCAAAGTTAAGCATGTGGATTTAGATGTGCACTTTATTCGTGAAAAAGTGAAGGGTCAACAGTAGACTGTCAACTATGTTCCAACACACCATCAGATTGCATATGTGTTAACCAAGTCATTTAATTACAACTCAGTTTCAGGAATTTCGATAGAAGCTTAATGTGGTATCGCTGCAAAGTCTTCAGCTGCACAAGGCTTAGTTTGTTTTTTGCTTGGAGAAGTTGGAAAGTGGGGTGAATATTAGGAAATAGATTGTTGCCAGCTGGAGTAGTTGGGTGCTAACCGCTTCTGTTAAGGGTTTGTTTTACGGTTAAGAGTAGTTAAGCCGGTTTTCCTATTGGGTTAAACTTACGGTGTTAATCTGTAAGAAAAAGTCATTGGCTACATAAAAGACCTTCCTAGTCAAGGGCTAGAAATCATCTTAAAACCTACATTTTTTTCCTTTTTCCTTTACTTTCTCTCTGGTTAACTGAGCAGATTAGAGGTTTCAACACTCGTAGAGTTCCCTTCACCTCTCTTTTAAATAAGATTATGATTAGATTTAAAATTTGTAAAAAAAAATGTATAATAAATTTTGGGTTTGTAAATTATTCTGGTTCAATGGATTGTGACAAAACCCAAATTTTAAAACCTTATTCGTGGAGTCATTTCCATGTTTTTTCATACAACTGTACCTATATTTTTATGTTTCTTTCTTCTACTCAGTTCCTGCAATCACGATTGCTGATTCCACCTCATTATAAAACAAACAAGAGCTTTGATTGAGACGCTAATTGTTTAATATATATGTGATGAAAACAACAATATCACCTGCGTTTACAATATACGACGATACAAATGATGGTTAAATAAAAGGGGACCAATCCCAATTATTAAAAAATGGGAGAAACCAATAAAAAAAAAAACATGATAATAAGGTAGTACATATTATCACCGAGATCAAGTTGGTGGTTGTTAGAACAGCATGATAATAGGTTTTCTTATTCTAATATCCTCATCATTTCAAGCAAACCAATACTTTCCATAGCCTACGAGTTCTTCTCATGATTTTGATGAGCTTTCCAGCAATGAGACCCGGTACCAAAACTGCAGGGGAGTTGGGTCTTACCGGATCAATTTCCGAAACAAAAGATGCACCATTGCTGCTATTGCCACTGTTACTCTTTCTAAGATAAAAGCTTCTGCTACCAGAATCCCCGATCGACATTGATTTATCCAAACCTGTAAATAACATGTTTTTTTCTTTTAATTATCAGCAATCAAATGGGGTATCAGAGTGCATTAAAAAGAACCATGAGACTGCTTACTTTCAAGGCTAAAATAAGAATGATGCAGTTCAAGTCCTGAACTTGAGTCAAGCTTTGGGGTTCTCCCTTCTTCCACATACTTGTCTACGACAAGCTTTACAGTGTCATCGACACTGGACCCTAATTTGACCATGGTCCGGACCGGCCCTGGGCTCCCCTCAACTGATACATTGATTACAACCTTTGCATCTTTGTTGTACTTGTAACCATGCATCCCAAACTACACCCCCAAAAAAAAAAGACTTCAGTTTCTGACACAAGTACTGTAATTTCTAAATTAGTTGATTGGATTTTGGCCAAATGAAAATAGTGACATCACATACCTCGAAACCCTGTTTCGAAGAAGAAGAAGAAGAAGGGGAGCATGTAGAAAACAGTTGTAGCTGATTATTTTTTGTTTGTACAGTTAGAGAATTAGTTAATTTGTTTTTGGTTAGTTACAAGTTAGTTAGATGCCTAGTTATTGTATAAATACACTGGCTGTATTATTTTATAATATACAGAAATAAAAGTGAACTTTCCAGTATCCTTGAATTAGTGTTTTAACATGGTATCATTCGGTTCATTTCTGGGCTCTTGGGTTATTGGGCTTCCTTCACGCTAAGTCCATTTTTGTCTCTTGTTTCTGCGCAAGTTTCCCAATTCCTGTATTGCTCTGTGCGTTTCTTCTCTTTCTTTGTTTCTCTTCGCGATGCCTCCACAGGACGCTTTGGAGATTGATTTCACGCACCCCCTGTATTTGCACCCATCCGATACGCCAGGGGCTGTTCTTGTTTCTCACCAACTCACTGGAGTTCATGATTACAGCGTCTGGAGTCGGTCAATGCGCATCTCCCTCCTCGCAAAAAATAAGTTAGGGTTTATTGATGGGGTTTGTCGTCGGTCTGATTTCGTGGAACAACTTCAATCGCAGTGGGATCGTTGCAACGCGATTGTCCTCTCCTGGCTAATTAATTCGGTCAGCAAGGATCTCTCAGCAGTATTGTTTTTCCTCGAGTGCTGCCCTTGTATGGTCCGATTTGAAAGAGTGGTTTGACAAGGTGGATGGTTCTCGGGTTTATTTTCTACATCGAGAAATTGTAACTCTGGTTCAAGGAGATTCTTCGATTTCGTCGTATTTCACAAAATTGAAGCTCCTCTGGGACGAGTATGGTGCTTTGGTACCCCTTCCTTCCTGCGATTGTGACAATGCACAGCAGAATACTGCTAATGCTCTTCAACAACGTTTATTTCAATTCCTAATGGGATTGAATGAATCATATTCTGCTGTGCGTAGCCAGATCCTCCTAATGCAGCCGTTACCAAATGTCAATCAAGCTTATTCGATGCTGGTTCAAGAAGAGTCGCAGCGATCGCATTCTACTGGTATACCTTTGACCCATGATTCAACTGTTTTTTATTCTAATTCTTCTGCATCTTCTGGCAGTACGGGTCGACGCCGATTCAATGGAACTTGTGACCATTGTAAAATTAAAGGTCACAAAAAAGACCAGTGTTACAGATTGATAGGGTTTCCTGCTAATTTCAAGTTTGATCGGAAGAAAGATACTTCCGCTTCTCTTACTGGTAAACTTGAAGATCATGTTCCTTCTCCTGTTCCTCCTGTGTCCACTGCTCCCGTATTTACTCAAGAACAGTACAACCAGATATTGAGTTTGTTGCATCCAGCTCCAGCTTCCGAGTCCTCGGTTAATCTTGTGGGACAAGCTTCAGGTACTCTTTCTTCTATACAGTGGATCTTGGACACTGGTGCTACTGATCATATTACGTTTGAATTCTCTTGCTTGACAAATCCTGTTGCATGTGCTTCTAAAAATAGGTTTGTTCATCTTCCTAATGGTAAAAAAGCCCTCATTACTCATACTGGCTCTTACATCCTTAGCAAAGACCATATTATTCACAATGTTTTGTTTGTCCCTGACTTTAGAAATAACCTTTTGTCTATCACTAAACTAACCAATGAGCTTCAATGTGTTATTTCGTTCTATCCTGCATTTTTTATTTTGCAGGACATCTTCAGTGGAAAGATCAAGGGGATTGGTAAGGAACGTGGAGGTCTCTACTTGCTCGAGTCTTCTTTTGCATCCTCGGGTTTGCCTTTATCTTCTGCTCATGTTTCTTCATTTTTGAATTCTTTGTTTGTCAGTCTGTAAGTCGTCATTCTCCTACTGTTACTGAACTTTGGCATGCTAGACTTGGGCATGCTGCCATTAATAAAATTCACAAGTTGTCTGTTCTTCAGTCAGTTAAGTTTAGTCCTAATGATGTACAACATTGTTCTATATGTCCTATGGCTATACAAACACGTTTGCCATTTCCTTTAAGTACTTCTAGAACCGAACACCTATTTCAATTACTTCACATAGATCTTTGGGGTCCCTATGGAATTTCTACTCATAGTGGACATCGCTATTTTCTTACGGTTGTCGATGATTTTAGTCGTATGACTTGGGTGTTTTTATTACGACTTAAAAGTGATGTTGTTATTCATTTAAAAGCCTTCTTCTTGATGATTAACAATCAATTCTCTACTTCTGTTAAAATAATTCGTAGTGACAATGGATCTGAATTCTTCAATTCAGTTTGTTCCCCTTTGTTTTCTTCTCTTGGCATAATTCATCAGTCGAGTTGTGTTCGTACTCCTCAACAAAATGGGGTAGCTGAGCGTAAGCATAGACATTTACTTGAGGTTGCTCGTGCTTTAAGATTTCATTCTAAAGTTCCTTTAAAGTTTTGGGGTGAATGTGTTCTTGCTGCTTGTTATCTGATAAATAGATTACCCTCCTCTGTTCTATCTTGGCTAACTCCTTTTGAATTGTTATATAAAAAAACCCCTTCCTTATCTCACATTCGTGTGTTTGGTTGTCTTGCCTATGCCACTCAGACACATTTAACTGATAAATTCGCTTCACGAGCCATTCCTTCAGTATTTCTTGGTTATTCTTCTACTAAAAAAGGCTACATTTTATTTGATCTTGAAAAAAAAGTTTTTTTTGTCAATCGTGATGTTGTTTTCCATGAGTCTGTTTTTTCTTTCAGTTTCCCTCAACAGTCTGGTTCTTTCTTTCCTACTCAAACCTATCAAAATGATGATGAATTCTTGGTTCTATCCCAACCTTCTATCTCTCATGATGATCCCTCTTCACCAGTTTTACCAGAATCATCAGAACCTTCTGCTCTTCCATTGCGTAAGTCTTCTCGAGCATCTAGACCTCCTACATGGCTACAAGATTATGTGTGTTCCAACCAGTCTTCCTCTTCTTCTTTCACTTGTAAGTACCCCCTTATTCATAATGTTTCTTATGATCATTTACCTGTTCATACACAACATTTTCTTGCTACCACTTCATCCATTATTGAACCACAATCCTATTCTAAAGCTATTTCTAACCCGGTTTGGATTAAAGCCATGCAAGAAGAAATTCAAGCATTAGAATTCAATGGTACTTGGTCTATAGTGCCTTTGCCTCAAGGAGTGACTCCCATTGGTTGTAAATGGGTTTTCCGTGTCAAATATAAAGCTGATGGCACAATTGAGCGTTTCAAAGCACGTCTTGTGGCTAAAGGTTACAATCAAAAGGAGGGTGTTGATTTTATTGAGACGTTTTCTCCTGTAGCAAAATTAGTCATTGTTAGGACTGTTCTTGCTCTTGCTGCCATGAATGACTGGCCTCTTTTTCAAATGGACGTGCATAACGCTTTTCTGCAAGGCGATCTCTTTGAGGATATATACATGAAGTTGCCTGAGGGTTTTAGCAGCCAGGGGGAGAATATGGTCTGTCGGCTGCAAAAATCTCTCTATGGTTTGAAGCAAGCTTCATGACAGTGGAATTTGAAGCTCACTGAAGCATTGGTAATGGCAGGATATCAGCAGAGTAAGTTTGATTACTCGATGTTCACAAAAAAGGAGGGTGACAGATTGGTGGTAATACTCATTTATGTAGATGATCTTTTGTTAACTGGTAATGATTTAGTCTTAATCAGTGAGTTGAAAGACATGTTAAATTACAGTTTTAAGATGAAAGATTTGGGAGAATTGAAATACTTCTTAGGACTTGAGGTCTTAAGGTCAAAAGAAGGGATTGTGTTAAATCAGAGGAAATATGCTTTAGAATTGCTAAAGGAAACTGGTCTTGAAGGAGTCAAACCAGCCTTGACCCCTTTAGAGCAAAATTTAAAGCTTACCTCCACAGAATATGATGAACATTTACAGCAAAAGGAAGATGAAGTACTGATTGAAGAGAAGTTAATTTTTCAAAGGTTAATTGGAAGGCTAATATACTTAACGCATACTCGGCCAGATATTACATTTTTTGTTCATCATCTTAGTCAGTTTATGCAACAACCGAAGAAAACACATTTAGAGGCAGCATTGAGAATTATCAAGTATTTGAAGAAGGAACCAGGACATGGGATATTGTTGAAGAAAACAAGCAATAATCAACTGTCAGCATACTGTGATTCTGATTGGGCTTCATGCCCTATGTCACGAAAATCAGTTACTGGTTTTTGCATAAAGTTAGGTGATTCTTTGATATCCTGGAAATCAAAGAAACAAAATACAGTGGCAAGATCATCGGCAGAAGCTGAATATCGAAGTATGGCAATGGTTACAGCTGAAATAGTGTGGTTAAATGGCATTTTGAAGGAACTGCAATCTGATATTTTGAGGCCAACAAAGCTGTACAGTGATAGCAAAGCAGCATTACAAATTTCAGCAAATCCAGTATTTCATGAACGGACTAAGCACATTGACATAGATTGCCATTTTGTTAGAGAAAATATACAAGAAGGTCTGATCAAAGCTGAGTATGTATCATCTGCAGAACAGCTTGCTGATATTTTAACTAAAGCACTTGGAATACAACAACACAACTATTTGGTGGGCAAGTTGGGGATGAAAAATGTTTTAATCCCTCAACTTGAGGGGGAGTGTAGAAAACAGTTGTAGCTGATTATTTTTGTTTGTACAGTTAGAGAATTAGTTAATTTGTTTTTGGTTAGTTACAAGTTAGTTAGATGCCTAGTTATTGTATAAATACACTGGCTGTATTATTTTATAATATATAGAAATAAAAGTGAACTTTCCAGTATCCTTGAATTAGTGTTTTAACAGAGCAAAGACCTGACAAAGAAGGAGACGAAGCGAAGACGTCCGTACAAGTTTGAGGCCTAAATAAAGTTCCCCCTTCGATTTCAGACACCAAGAAACCA